AAATGAGGCCATCCGCTTACCTGGAGCTCCTCTGGCTCACAGTTCCAATCGCCTATGACAAGCCACGGTGTACGAAGGGGCTGCAGCAAAGAGCCCAGGCTGGCGAGCTTGCGGGCGTTCTCGCCTCGCAAACCTACCCCTGTGGTGAGATAGATTCCAAAGATGCTGAACGCCTGTCTTGATACTTTCGTCTGGAAACCTACAAAGTCATGAAAATCAACTCCGCTGGTGACAGGCTGTTGTCCCTTCTGAAGGCCCCGCATGCCCAGTGTGGCACTTGGCTCACTCGAGAGATGGCGAAACGACTCGAACTGAAAAACTTTCCTGCAGCCTGCGGAAACTCCGCCTGGCCTCAAACTGCTCTCCGATGCGCGGCTCGGAGTCAGCACTGGCTTATAACCTGCTTTCGCCCAAACCTCAAGATGCTCATCTGCCTCGTCTGGACGCGTGTGTACTTCTGGTAGGACGTAGAAGTCATGCTCGCGCTTCTGCAGGAGGTGCTTGGCTGTGGGTCCGAACCTGGGCAAGTTCCTCATGTGCAGCGTGTAGTCTCTACTCTGAGCCTCGCTGCCGTCAGAGTGACTGCTGGACTCTCTGTCGCACCCTCTGGATCTCTGCCTCCACCTCCTGCTGCAGGGCCTCTTTCTTGTCGGCCACCACTGGAGCGCTCTCGTCTCCAGCTGCTCTGGGCGGCTCAGCACTGATTGGGGCACCGCCTGGCCCTCCCGCTCCCGCAGGCTGCTGGTCACCTGGGGCGGGGGCCTGGCCGCCCACATGCTGCTGAGGAGGGCCACGAGGAGGTACAAAAACACCCGCACTGGGCTGCTCTTCCTCTTCTTCGTCCCTCTCGCGGCCACCTCGGCCATTTCCTTCTGGATATTCTCCAGGTCGGCGGTGAGGCCTCCCATCGCTTCCCTGATCGCCTTCTGGAGCAATGTGTTGACAGCCCCCGACCGCTCCTCCACGATCTTGCGGTCTGCCTCCTGGAGTTCCAACCCGTCGAGCAACTTGCCGAACGAGAACTGCAACTTGATGCCGTCACGGATGGCCGTGCCGACGTCGATGATTGGGCTCTGTTCATCGTCCTCTCTGTCGGGCAGGATGCGGCGGGCCGCCTCCACCTCATCCTGCTCCGCTGCCACCAGTTCCTCCGTGGCCTTCTCCAGAGCCATCTGCGCCTCATGGTACTCGTCCTTCGTGCGGATCCAGCGCTGGCGGGCCTTGTCCAGCGCCTTCGTAGCTTTGCCCACTCGTGAATTGGCCCGCTGCAGGAGCGCCGCTGGGCGCTCTGGTGGTGGGGAAGGCTGCTTCGGCGCCAGCTGCTGCAGCAGCTCCTCCACCTTACGGCTGGTTTGTGGATCCTTGCCCTCGCCCGCCATGGCCCGGAGCGCAACCTCGAGGTAAGATGCCTGCGAGTGTCCCGATGTTCCTCCAGCTCCGCTGCCTTGCTGGTGGTGCCGCCCTGTCCCCCAGGCGCTGGGGCTCCCCAGCCAAGCGCCGCACAGGCAGGTGCTGTTGGCCGCCTGCAGCCTGTCCTCAAACAGGTATCGGGGGCACTGCGAACATAACACCTTCTTCCTGAAAGGCTGGCGCCGACCCCAGGAGCTCGCGAGCCTCCATGGAGCCGTGTGCTGCTGCTGCACCCGCGGCTGGCGACGATACTGCTCATCCGCCATGGCACGCGGGCGCCGTGTATGGAAAGATGCCGAAAAGAAGTCGTGATCGCTGGCGCCAAAAACTCGCGCCTCAATATCCTCACCTGGCCTGGCCGTGAGGTGTCACTGTTGGGGGCCGCTGACTTCCCCCACGCCAGTCTGGTCAGGTCCTGAGCCGAATGACTCCGGACTTGAGCCAAAATGGCTACGGATCCCGCACGCAGAGACGGGCAGGGGCGCAACGAGTCACGGTCCACCGAACGGGTCGCGCCAAAGCGCGACGCGTCACGCGTGCAGACGGGCCACGCGGCTCTCTGTAAGGGCGCGTCGTGTCATAACTTATGTTGCGGACGGATCACCACAAGCGTGTCCGCGTGCGCGTGTGCGTGTCTGAGTGTGTGTGTGTGTGTGTGCGCGTGTGCGTTTGCAAGAGCGTGTGCGTGTGCATGTGCGTGCGCGTGTGCGTGTGCAAACGCAAATGCGCGTGCGTGCGTGCGCGTGTGCGTGCGCGTGTGCGTGCCCGTGTGCGTGCCCGTGTGCGTGCGCGTGTGCGTGCGCGTGTGCGAGCGCGCGTGTGTGCGTGTGTGCGTGTGTGCGTGTGTGATTGTGTGCGTGAAATTGTGTGTGTGTGATTGTGTGTGCGTGCGTGTGTGTATGTGCGTGTGTGTGTGTGTGTGTGCGTCTGTGTGTGCGTGTGTGCGTGCGTGCGTGCGCGCGCGCGTGCGTGCGCGCGTGCGTGCGTGAGCGTGTGCGCGTGCGTGCGTGTGTGCGTGTGCGTGTGCGTGTGCGCGTGCGCGTGCGCGTGCGCGTGCGCGTGCGCTTGCGCGTGCGCGTTCGTGCGTGCGTGCGTGCGAGCGTGCGTGCGTGGGTGCGTGCGTGCGTGTGAGTGTGCGTGCGTGTGCGTGCAAGGGTGTATGTGGTGTGTGTGTGTGTGTTTGTGCGTGCGTGCGTGTGTGTGTGTGTGTGTGTATGTGCGTGAGTGCGTGCGTGCGTGCGTGCGTGTGTGCGCGTGTGTGTGTGTGTGCGTGTGTGCGCGTCTGTGTGTGTGTGCGTGTGCGTGTGTGTGTGCGTGCGTGCGTGCGTGCGTGTGTGTGTGTGTGTTTGTGTGTGCGTGCATGTGTGTGTGTGTGCGTGTGTGTGCCTGTGTGGGGAGGCGAGGGAGAGAAATCGGCGGCCGCAGCGGGGGCGGGTCGCCCGCGGGGGGGGGCGGCACCATCACACGCACCCAGGGCCTCCGGTTCGCCCACGCCGTCGACGAGGCTCCCCGTGCGCACGCGTGCAGTCTCCCCTCCCCCCCCCGTGCACGCCGCCCCTGCGGAAGGCGTCGAGGAGGAGATGGCTCTTCGGCCGGCGCGACGCTTTCATGACGAAGCCAGGGCGAGGACAGATTCGGGCGAGGATGCATCGAGAATCTCTGAGATATGAGGGATCTCGTCATCATCATCATCATCATCAGCATCAGCATCAGCATCAGCATCAGCATCAGCATCAGCATCAGCATCAGCATCATCAGCATCATCATCATCATCATCATCATCATCATCATCATCATCATCAGCATCCTCCTCCTCCTCATCATCATCAGTATCAACAGCATCAACATCATCATCAGCATCGTCATCATCAGCATCATCAGCATCAGCATCAGCATCATCGTCATCGTCGTCGCCATCGCCATCGCCATCGTCATCATCATCATCATCAACATCATCATCATCATCATCATCATCAGCAGCAGCATCATCATCATCATCATCATCATCATCATCAGATTCAGCATGAGCATCATCATAATCATCATCATCATCATCATCATCATCATCATCATCATCATGATCATCATCATCATCATCATCATCATCATCAGCATCAGCATCAGCATCATCATCATCATCATGATCATCATCATCATCATCATCATCATCATCATCATCATCATCATCGAATATCTGAGATCCAGCGGATCTGGAAGATGTCTCGGGCGCCACGGCCTTCGCAGAACGTTCCCGGAAGCTCTGAGAGCGATTCGGACCGCTCTGGAATCGATGTATCCTCGTCCTGGCCCCGTCTGACCTGCTGAAGCCGTCCAAGACGCGGGGCGGGAGAGGAGGAGATGGCTCTTCCCGGGGACATGCTGGCCCCAGACAACCCGCAGCCGTGGTCAGTGAGGCCCTGCAGGATGCTGCAAGATCCCGCAGGATCCTCCAGGATCCTGCTCTGAAACTTACAGTCAACCCGCGGAGTAAGGATGCACGATAAGGATGCAAGGGCCTTGGAAAGTTCGCCCTAAGGGTACCCTGAGGGGCTGGCAAGCGAAAGTTGCCAGGGATGGACCGAAGGGGCAAGGATGCAAAGGTAATCTTGGACAAGTTGCTCATCCTTACTCCGCGGGTTGACTGTAGGTCAGTGCAACCCTGGCTCTGCGGGATCCTGCAAGAGCAGGCGCTCTGATTGACCCCCGTTTGCATTGACCCCCGTCCCTTGAGCCCCGATCTGCGGCCGTCGCAACTCCTTCCCGGCTGCCAGAGAGACTCACTGCGGGTGGGCCGGTCCCCTCGGGAAGCCTCCTGAGCCACGGGGGGGGAGACAGGGCGAGCGGGAGGAGGGATTCGGGAGCAGCAATAAGAGAAAGGAGCGGAAGGAAGAAGGGGGGCGATGAGGCGGAAGAGGGAGAGTGGAGAGAAGCAGAAGAGACTGCTCTTCGGGCCGCAGCACCGTCAACGAAACGTCGCGGGACGAAAAAAACTGTCCTCAGGAAGGAGGCGAGAGGTCCAGTGACCACGGCCTGGAAGACGTATCCGTCGGAGATATGCTGGCACGAACGGGGGGCATGACGGGAACCAGGGATGAGGGAGGAGCCAGAGCGAATGTCGGCGGCCAGCGCGGGGGGGAAGTGAGAATTGGCGGGCCTTCTCTGAAGGCTAGGACGTCCCCCAGCCTTCTGAGAAACTGTCTAAAACCTTCCCCGAAGACGCAGCAAACTTCTCCCAAGGCACCGAGGGCTTCTGAGCAGCCACGACGCCTTCTGACAAGGCCTCGTCCTTCTCACTTCCCCCCCCCCTGGCGCGCTGCCGAATATCGGTCGAAATCGGTCCCCTAAGCCCCCCAGGGTCCATCCGACGCGGCTGTTCACCCCGGATCGAGATTTTCGGAGGCCCCTGGGCCCGAAAAGGGCTCCCAGAGGCCTGCAAGCGAGAAAAACATGTCTCGAGCGTCGAAGTTCGAACCTCGAAGTTCCCCCCCCTCGCTCGCCGCCGAGAGGAGGCAGAGCGAAGGGATGCCAGGCAGAGAGAGGGGATGATGCTGATCCCGCGGATCCCAGCGCTGGGCCGAAGAGGCCGGTGCCTCCGAGAAGGAGGGCCCGTCCCAGAGGCAAGCTTGCACCTGCGGCGGCTGGCGCGCGCGGGCTTTCACTCATCCCTTCTCGGCCTCTCCTCCTCCTCCTCCTCCTCCTCTTCTCCTCCTCCTCTTTCTCCTCCTCCTCCTCCCGATCTTCTTTCTCCTCCTGCTTCCCATCATCGTCCTTATTATCATCCTCATCACACTCCCTGTCCCCCAACATTTCTCCCCCATTTCCTCCTCCTCCTCCTCCTGCTTCCCATCCTCCTCTGCCTCCCCCTTTGACCCTCACCTTCCTCCGCCTCGCCCTCCCTCCCTGCCTCCAGCACGTCCCTCTGGTTCACGTTTTCCCCTCTGGCTTGCACCCCCCAATTCCACCGTACCCTCCCCCAACCCCAGCCTGCACCGTCACTTCCCCTCCCTCCTGGCTCGGGCCTTGCGCGGGGAGGAAAGGGTTCAGATAACTATACGGGAGAAGGGGGAGAAGGGCGCGGGGGAGGAGGGGGCGGAGAGAACGGAGGCGAGGATGGAGGGGATCGAGGGGGAACATTCGGCGAGTGAAAAAAGTGACGGGTTTCAAATGAGCGCGGAGAATGAGGGGGAATGCAACGGGGAGAACAACAATAGGGTGAGGGGAACGGGTGTCAGGATGACAAGGATGTGGAGGGGGAGCAAATATGGTTGAGGATGGGGAACATGGTGTAATGCAACATGTGCATTATATATAGATTTATGTGTCTTTGTACATACGTTTATGGAAATAGGGAGGGCGGGAAGGCGGACGGGAGAGAGAGAGAGAGAGAGAGAACAAAGAGAGAGAGAGAGAGGGGAGGGATTAAGAGAGAGAGAGAGAGAGAGGAGAGAGTGAGAGAGCGAGTGAGAGATGTCACGCGAAAGAGAGAGAGAGAGAGAGAAAGATGGAGAGCAATGGAGAGCGTGGGGGGGAGAAAGAGCAGTCACAGAAAGGGACAGAGCGAGGAAGAGAAAACAAGAGAGAGAGAGAGAGGGAGAGAGACTCACCATCGCTCGGACATCCATTCCCAGTGCATGTGTTCAGTTCGTGCGCTAGTGTTTCTTAGGATAGTCCACTAATGCTCCTCGATGGCTCTCGTCGAGAAACATGCAGACGTCCGAGCGATGCCAAGGAGAGAGGGAGCGAGAGACAGCGACACCCAGCAATGCGGACGGTGTCAGGGGCGACAGAGGCAAGCTGCTGCCCGCTGGTGCTCACTCTTGGGTCGAGCTCAGCCCAGCGAGAGGGGGGGGGGGGGCGAAAACGAAGGCCCCAACCTGGGGCGCACGGGGACATACTAGTGCTGTGTGCCCTCCTTCGGGGCGTGCGCCCGACCCGAACGTACAGTATACATATCTTGTAGTACATCGTCCCCCGAGCGGTATGGCCAGAAAGCGCCCGACACACAGCTCATACAATGGATGATCCTTCGGCGCGCGCGTCGCCTCTGGGGGGGGGGGCGGCCAACACATAGTGACGTAGTGCTGGTATGTGGGGGTGACGCCGACCCCCACCCCCGCGCCGAGCGGACTGAAAAACAGAGCGAAATGGTGACGGGGGTGAAACGCCCCGCGTCTGCACACCGTGAGAAGACGGGCTGCCGCTTGGGTAGCCCACGTTGGCGTGAGGGGCGTCGGCAGCGGGCAATGCCGCACGCACGGCCACCCCCCCTTAGGCGGGCGAGGGCGGGACCGCGGAGCGCTTGCCAGTCGTCACGCGGGGCGCGGAGCGAGAACTCGGGTTGAAACGGGCCAGTCGATCGGCCAGCGGGGGGCCGCGGAGCCAGACCGCGTAAGGCCTCCCCCACGGTCGTCAGGTCGACCGTCAGCGGTGGCGGGAAGGACGGCCGACCAAGGGCCGCCCACGCCCCCCCCGGGCGCGTTGAAGACGCTGGGTGAGGGCACAGGTCACCATGGCGCTCGAGGGCGCTGTGGAGCACGAGAGTTAGGCAGAGAGGATCTGAGAGAGAGCGATATAGAGATATAAAGAAATGCAAAGAGAGAAAATGTCAAGCAAGAGAGGAGGAAGAGAGAGAAAGAGAGAGAGAAGTGGAGAAAGAAAGAAAAAGCGTCAAACAAAAACTAGAGAGAGGGAGAGAGGGAAGGTGGCAGAGAGAGAGAGAGAGAGGCCTAAGAGAGCAAGAGAGGGAGGCATCACGGGAGAGAGAGAGAGAGAGAGAGCGAGAAAAAAGAGACGCACAGAGGGAAACAACTGAAAGTACGACAAAACGCACGAAGTCAGATGGAAGGTCAGACCGCAGATGGTAAGGCCCCGCCCCCACAGCAGACAATAAGCCCGAATGCTTCACACCTCACGGAGGTGTTCGGGCGGGGGGGGCGCCCCGCTGCAGGAGGGGGGGGGGCACAGAGAGAGGGAGGGGGAGAAAAGAGGAGGGAGAGCGAGAACGAGAGAGAAGAGAGAGAGAGAACACCAAATAGAGTCAGAGATAGAGAGACATAGGGAGGGATCGAGAGAGGGAGGGAGAGGGCGAGAGAGAGAGAGAAACCTGAACGAGAGAGAGAGGGAGAGAGAACAAAATAAACAAGAGAGAGAGAGATAACGATATAGAACCAGGTAGAGAGAGAAGGAGCTACGTACACATACATATATATATATATATATATATATATGTATATATATATATGTGTATATCTACGTATGTGTATACAGTTCTTAGCCGTTGTAGCGCGCACGGCGAAACCCCAAGCTTCCAAAGAGCAAGCTTGAAGCTTCAGCAATAAGCTTGAGTTTGAGCTTAGTCCTGAAGCTTTGACTTAGGATTCGGGCGAGAGTGCCTTATGGGAGGTCCAGGAAGGCAGCGCCAACCACGACGACCACCGAAACAACATTGTTGTTGCATTTCAACTTTGTTTGCATCTGGTCTGGCTGGTCTGGTTGGTCCGGTTTGAGCTTCGCCATGAAGCCTTAGTTTAGGATTCGGGCGAGAGTGGTTCAGAGGATGTCCAGGGAGGCAGCGCCAACCACGACGACCACCTAAACACAGGTTTTGTTTGATTCGCAGTTGTTGTTGTTGCATTGCAGTTGTTTTGCACCGCAGTGTTTGTTTGAATTACATTTGTTGATTGCGTCTGGTCTACCTGGTCGAGTCTGTCTGGTTGTAGCTTCAACTTGAAACTTCAGCTCACGAGTTGGCCATTGTTTTTACATTGCAATTGCTTGTGCATTTCAATGTTTGTGCATCTGGTCCAGCTGGTCTGGTCTAGCTGGTTTGACTTCCGTCCTCAAGTCTTAGCTTCAGCAATTGTGTTGCATTGCATTTGGTGTGCATCATTCCAGTTGTTTGCATTTGATCTGGCTGGTCTGGTTTGCGGGGTTTGAGCTCCGTCCTGAAGCACTAGCTTAGGATTCGGGCGGTTTTGCATTGCAGGTTTGCTGTCATTGCAGTGTTTGGTTGCATCTGGTCTGGCTGGTCTGGTCTAGCTGGTTTGAGCTTCGTCCTGAAGCCTTAGCTGAGAGTTCGGAAGATTGTTGTTGCATTGCATGCTTTTTTGTTTTGCTGGTGTTTGTATTGCAGTTTCTTTGGGATCTTGTCTGGCTGGTCTGGCCTGGCTGAATTGAGCTTCGTCTTGAAGCTTTAGCTTATGATTCGGGCGATGTCTTTGTTGCATTGAAGTTGTGCTGCATTGCAGTGTTCTTGCACTGCATTTGGTGTGCATTGCAGTTGTTTTGAATATGGTCTGGCTGGTCTGGTCTGAGTTTCGTCCTGAAGCCCTCGCTTAGCTGCTTGGTCTGGATGGACTGGTTGGTCTGGTTGGTCTGGCTGGTCTGGTTGGTCTGGTTCGTCGAGTTGGTCTGGTTGGTTGTCCAGCTTTGTCTGGCGCGGTTGCTCTACTGGCTCTGGTTGGTCTGGTTTGTCCGATTGGTCTGGCTCGTCCGGCCAACAAAGTGTTTCAGGATCCGCTCTCGGCTTGCAGGTCTCATTGGCGCGGGCGCGATAGAGTGGATCTAACAGGAGGACGCTGAGTAGAAAGAGTGGGAGGAGGAGGAGGAGGAGGAGGAGGAGGAGGAGGAGGAGGGGGAGGAGGAGGAGGAGGACGAGGAGGAGGATCCGGGAGCGGCCCAGAGGGGGGTGTCCAAGAGGGGGGGGTGCAAATCATGACCGGCGGCATGTGCGCGGCCCAGCGGGGCGGCCAGGGACATAATGAAATAAGAGCAGGCGCCATGAAATCTGGGCAAATATCATGGCCCCCGCCATGATATCCACCCCCCCTAGTCATCACCCCCCTCTTTCCCGCCCCCAACGATTCCAGGGCCCGGCGACCGTTCTGGAAGAGCGGGCTCCCAAAAAAGTCGACTTCGTCGCCGTCGTCCTCGTCCTCACCTTCGACTTCCTCGTCGTCGCCGTCGTCCTCGTCGCCGCCGCCGCCGTCGTCGTCGTCGTCGTCGTCATCTTCCTGCCCCTTGCGTCGCCGCAGCCAGGGCTGGGACCGAAAGCGCTGCTGTATCAAGTCCGGCTGCGGCAGAAAGGCGGGTGGGGAGGAAGGGAGCTTCAGCAGCCATCTCAGTTCTCATGTACCAAAGCAAAGTACGACGCTGGGGCAGAAGAACTTTTCGCCTCGAGCGGCTCCGAATCTCTGTGTATATATAGAAAGAGAGAGAGAGAGAGAGAGAGAGATGTGAGGAAAAGCTGGGCACAGGGGCAGACATCCAGACAGACCAGGGACGAGCAGCATGGAGGGAAAGGCAGGGAAGGGGGGGGGAAGAGACCTCCTAAAGGGCGGAAGGGGGACACGAGGGGGGCGGGAGACGCGACGGAGGCGTGACGCGGGTGACGCCGCGGCGCCTTCTTCCTCAGGGAGGCGTCCCTGGCGCGCGGCGCGGGCAGGCCGAGGGAGGCCGGGAGGCGGGAACGGGGGAAGCGGGGCACAGGAAGAAGCAGGGGAAGGGAGATAGAGAGAGAGAGAGAGAGAACGAGAGTGGCGGCGAGCGAGGGGGGGGGAAATTCAAGTGAGGGACAAAGCCATCGCGCCTCCCGAGGAGTGCTCTGCAGCCTTGGGGCAGGCTTCGGAGACTTCTCGGAAGACCGGGGGGCTTTCGAGCCTTCTGAGGAGGCATTCTCCTTTTGGGGGCGGCCAAGAGGGGGGTGTCCAAGAGGGGGGGGTGCAACTCATGACCGGCGGCACGTGCGCGGCCCAGCGGGGGGCCAGAGACGTAAGAAAACAAGAAGAGGCGCCACGAAATCTGAGGAGATATCATGGCCCCCGCCAAGATATCCACCCCCCCTTTAGTCATCACCCCCCTCTTTTCCGCCCCCATTCTCCTTCTCGCTTCCCCCCCCCCCGCCGGTCTCGCCGCCGAAGAGAGAGAGAGAGAGAGGGAGCGAGGAGCCGAGGCGGAGCGGGAGGGGGCAGAGGAGGGCCAGGAGGGAGGCGGCCGCGCCTGGCTCTGGCCAGGTGGGCTGGCGAGCCGTGCCTGCGTACAGTCGGGGCGTTGACCTAAGGAACCCTAAATAAGGAACGAGGCCCCTTTTTTCCATAAGTTAACCTGCGATTTCCTGTCGAAAACAGAAGGAAAGCCTGAGGCAAGCTGTGAAACACTTAAGGAACACGGAGCCCCTCCCCAACGAAAAAGGTTCCTTCTTCGGGGCCCCGACTGTACCGGATCGCATCGAATCTGATTGTACAGCAGGAGCTCGACACGCAGAGACCATCCACAAGAAACCCCGCTGCAGGGCGACGCTGTCTCCGAGGTGCCTCACCCCCGCTGAGCCCTCGGGCACGACGAGCAGGCGCCGACCTGGCACGAAGCAAACGTGTCCTGCGGGAAACGGGTATTGGACCCTGGGACCTTCCCCGCCCTGAGAAAAGGAGGAGGAGAAGGAAGAGGAGGAGGAGGAGGAGGAGGAGGAGGAGAAGGACGAGGAGGGAAGATGCAGGAGGGAGGAGGAGGAAGAGCAGGAGCAGGAGCAGAAGCAGGAGAAGGACGACGACCACGAGGACGAGGAGGAGAACGAGGACGGGAGGCGAAGGAAGGGGAGGGAAAGGGAGGAGAAACAGGAGGAGGAGAAGGATGAGGAGGAGAAGGAGGAGTGGACCAGTTCTGACAGCCCCGGGCCCGGGGAAATTCTCTGGAGGCCGAAACCTTACAAAAAAAAACCTTAGGGCCAGACCCATTTGCCCCACGGCGAGAGGACATACTCGGACCCTTCCGGGTGTGCGATTTCTGACTGGAACTCCGAGGCGGATCCAGCCGTGGCGACGAGGGGAAGGGGAGCAGTGTCGGTAACTCTCCCGTTCTACAACAGGCATGAGGGTCAACGTTTAGGAGGGGCAGCTCAGAAGGGGAACACATCGAGCTTACCTCGGCGGCGCATCGCCAATAGCTCGGCGATAGCCCCCGCCGAATACGCACGCTCCTGTCGGGCCCCTGCCTGCGCTGCATGCGCGAGTGGGGGTCGATGCGTCGACGATGAGCAGATCCCCCCCAAACGTTGCCCGTCAGGGGAGGGTGACTCTTCCTCTGCGGAGGGAGGGGGGGGTCGTTGGCCCCAATTGGAGGCCTCGGGGGCTCCCTTGGGCGGGTCTTCGGGGCCTCTTGGGTCGTCTTTCGTTGCGCGAGAGCAAGAAAGAGCCACTATCACCAGAACTCCATAGAACTCCTTTCCGAAAAACAAAAACTTCCCCGAGCTGGTGGCACTCCGTTCTGGGCAACCTGTGGGGGCGCGCCCGGATCGGGGTGCCACCAGCTCGGGGAGAATGGAGCAGCCTGCCCCCCTAGCTGGGGGTGGTGGTGGTGGTGGTTATTTCTTCTGCGGGGAGTGTGGGACGCTTTTGAGGAGGAGGAGGAGGAGGCGGAGGAGGAGGAGGAGAAGGAGGAGGAGGAGGGGGGGGGGAGGAGGGGGAGGAGGGGAAGGAAGGGGAGGAGGGAGAAGAGGGGGAGGGGGAGGGGGAGGAGCCCCCAGGGCAGGCCACAGGGTGCCTCTTGATGAGCACCTCCACGTCGCCCAGACCGAGCTCCTTCGCAGCCTGTGCGGGTCGGCCTTCTCGTCGGGCCGCCCACCCGAGGGCTCGTCTCTCTGCCCCTCCTCCTCCTCCCCTCCCTCCCCCTCCTTATCCTCGAGCCTCAAACGCTCCAGAAGTCCAGATCGACCGATGTCCCTGCTTGGACGAACACCCCCGCACCTGAATGCTGCCCCTCGCGAGGTCCTCGTCGTCGTCCTACCCCAACTCCAACTCCAACTCCTCCTCCGCCTCCTCCTCCTTCTCCTCTTCCTCCTCCTCCCCTTCATCAGCATCAACAGCATCATCATCATCATCATCATCATCATCATCATCATCATCATCATCATCATCATCATCATCAGCATCATCATCATCCTCCCCCTCCTCCTCCCCCTCCTCCCCCTCATCCTCCAACTTTCCAGCGCCATTTTGGAGGGAGGAGATGGAGCGGACATCATCACGATATAGCACCACTGTGCAGATAGCCAGAGAACATTGCCAAAAGAAGCAGGCCCTGAACTCCGTCATAGCAAACAGTGCTACCGCCCAACTGATTAATAAACGCAGCGGGGGGAAGGGGGAGCAGTCCTCCACCACCCCCTCCTCCTCCTCCTCCTCCTCGTCTTCCTCCTCCTCCTCCTTCTCCTCCTCCTCCTCCTCCGCCGCCTCCTCCTCCTCCGAGGTGTTCCTTCGATGTATCGACGAGGAGCTGGCAGGACGACTTCAGATGCATCATGGGAATGGGTTGTTGGATATTGGCCAGTTCTACGACACGCGTTGGTGGCTGAGGCTCGGTCGAGCAGCGATGAGGCTGGACTTCCCAGCCGAAGTGCTGGGGCTGGAGATGCAGCAGTGTATGGCACCACGGTGTTTGAGGCAGGCAGGCTCTTATTCAGAAGCATTCTCACCGTGGCAGTATATAGTCCAAGGATTGCGAGCTGGGACAAGATTCGCCACGTGCACCACGTACCACATCATGCATCGCTTGACGACGGTGCACATAGGCATGACGCAGCGGATCTGGATCGACGACCTCAGCCAGTCGGTCAAGGGTTCGCGGCAGTCCATGATCTCGCAATTGACTCGGTGTTTAGTGGACACGTGCACGGACATGCGAGAAGCTGGATTGGCAATGGCACCCAAAAGTGTGGTTCTCTGTACGTGTATCAAGGATGCGAAGACGGTGGCCAAGCGTGTTCGAGCTGGAGGATGTGTGCTTCGGGCTGCTGGGCAAACGAGTTACCTCGGAGGTGACCTTGGAGGTGGAGTTCGGCGAGGTCGTCAGTGTCGCACCCAGCGTGCGGCGAAACACACGGCCATGCATCGCAAGGTGTTGAAGTACGCCGCAGCCACACGACGATTCAAGTTGTCCAGTCGACTCGAGCAACAGGGAGCACAGGCAGCTGGTGCCTACGGGCACCAGCTGCACGGAGTTTTCGGACACAGTATGGTACAGTTTAGGAGGAAGCTCGGGAATTCGCTGCGGCCCAAGATGCCAGGTCGGTGCCTCACGACGCTTATCGACCTGCAGGCGCCCAACAGGTACCCAGCGTACAAGTTCCCGAAGGAGACCCTGAGGCTATGGCTCACCTGCTGGGCCACACAACCGTCGATCAGGAGGGGTATCAGTCACACGTGGTCCAAGCTGGTGCAGGAGCTTAGGACCATGACACCAGCAGAGCGAGTCCGAGCTATCAGGGGTCCGCAGAGCACGACGGTCTGGTATCTTTTACAAGCTGGTTGGGATCCGAAGGAGCCTACATGTTGGGTTACCCCCGGCGACGGCACTGGCGCGGAGAACAGCTGGCAATTCAAGGTTGAATCCCTGACAGGATTCTTGGACTTAGATGTTCCATCGGCACTTTTTGAAGAGTTCGGAGCCAGTGTCCAGAGTTCGCTTTGGGCACAAGCACCTGCACATTTTGAGGGAGCTGGGATGGAACATGGCATATGTAACTTCTCATATCGAAGGCTTCTGCGACACTTGTTTTTTTATTGTTATATATATGTATGTATGTATGTATATATATATGAGAGAGAGAGAGAGAGAGAGAGAGAGAGAGAGCGTGATCCACCGCCGCTTTACTGTGGAAAATTGCCAACCTTTTCCTCCGGAGCCCGGGGGTCGCCCCCCCCCCCCCCTCCGAAAATCCCCCCCCCCCCTGGAACCCCTCCCCCCCCCCCCCCCCCTCCCCCGGCAAACCCCCCCCTCCCTAACCCCCCCCCCCCCCCCCCCCCCCTTTCCGCTCGAAAACCGGGGTTCACTACCGGTTCGAACCCTCCCCCCCCCCCCCCCCCGGATCCGGAAAACCGGGGGGGGTCACTACCGGTTCGAACCCCCCCCCCCCCCCTTTACTCACCGCCAGCAAACGACTCCCGGTCCCCACCACCGTCCGCATCACATCCCCCACTGGTGTTCCCAGCACCACTGTCCTCACCACCGCTGTCCCCACTGGTTCCACCACCGCCCCTACTGTCCCCACCAGTGGCCCCACCACTGTCGCACTGTCCCCGCTGTCCCCAGAACTGTTCCCACCACGGTTCCACTCTCCCCACTGTCTCCACGGCCCCAACCACTGCCCGACTATCCCCACTGTCCCCACTGTCCCACTGACTCCTCCGCTGTCCCACTGAGCTGTCCCACTGTTCCCACCACTGTCCCCACTGTCCCCACCACTGTCCCCACTGTACCTCTGTCCCATTGTCCCACCGCCGTCCTCGCCACCGCCTTCACCACTGTCCCCACCACCATTGTACCCTCCACTGTCCCACTGTTTCCACCTCATTCCCATTGTCCCCACACCACTGTCCCCACCACCACCGTCACCACCACTGTCCACTGTCCCCCCCTGTTCCCACCATTGTCCCCACCACTGTCCCCACCACTACCGTCCCCACCACTGTCCCACTGTCCCACTGTCCCCACCACTGTCCCGCTATCCCCTCACCACTGTCCCACCAACACCGTCCCCACCTCTGTCCGCACCCCCACGAGAGGGGGGTTTCGAGAGCAGGGGGGGGGGGGTTCGAACCGGTAGTGACCCCCCCCGGTTTTCCGGAGGGGGGGGGGGGGGGGGGGTGGGGGGGGGGGGGGGGGGAGGGTTCGAACCGGTAGTGACCCCCCCCCGGTTTTCCGCCAGCAGCGGTAGAACACGCTCTTTCATATATATATATATATATATATATATATATATATATATATGTGTGTGTGTGTGTTTTTTCCATCCTGGGGGGGGGGCCCGGGGCTGCTTGGAGTCTCTGCATAAGGCGGTCGACTCCTTGGTCGAGCAGTTCGCACTCTGCCGTGGCGAGGGGGCGGCGGCCCTACCGAGGGGAGCTCCCACCTGCCGCGCGGGGCGCCGTGCACCCGCGGCGGCAGCGCTCGCCTCCTCGGGGCCCCCTCCCTCGCCAGTCGGCGAGTGACCCAAACACTGGCATCGCACCAGACGTCCGCGAGCGCTGGGTGGCGGCGGGCCAGCACACGAAGACGGGCTTCAAAGACATGCTCGGCTGCGGCAGAGCGCCCAACTCGGCGGGCGTTCAGGGCCGCTAAAAAGGCTTCCATGCAGGAAGCGCGACGGAGGAGACCGGCGACGTCGTCAAATGCGAGGAGGAGGCAGGAGGGAAACCAATGGAACGAGCGCTCGCGATGATAGACCTCCAGATGTCTCCCCATCCATCTCCTGAGATTCGCTTCCAGTCGCGGGCAGGCGGAGTAGTGGCGAAGAGAATCGGCGTCGCCTCCGCCATCGGCCTGGCACCCGAACAGACACCCCCGAGGGGCCGAGTGAAATCGGGAGCTCGTGCAAATGGATCCAATTAGCAGACGGGAGGGGGCCATGCCGACATGCATGATCGTTGCTGTGCATGCCCGTCGCAAGTTCGCCTTCAGAGTGACAATATGCTCACGCGAGACCTCAGGGCAAAAGTGGTGGGCACGCCGAAGGAGGATGGATTCAACACGCTCACTCGTCTCCAGGTCTCGAAAGGCCCGACATAGCCGATGTTGCAGCTTGTCCGAAGAGGAGGGGATGTCGAGCGAGAGCCCGCAATACCATTCTTTGATCGACCTCAAATATCCCAAGAAGCCGTCAGCATGCCACCCACGATGCCACCTATTAGGAATGTGCTCGACATCCAAGCGAGAAGCCTCCAACGAATCCAGAAGCCCGAAAAGCCACCCCGATCTCATGAGATACCGAAGGGCAGTGGCCTTCGCGACCGCATCGAGCTCCAGGAATTCAATAGCGAATCCAACGTGCGTAAGCTTCGTGGCGACATTGTAGGAAAAGGCGATCCTAGGCCCAGAGGTGAGAAGGAGCACTCCGTTGCGGAAGGCGGACACCAGTTCCTGGGAGGGCGGGTAGAGTTGCAGCCTGAATAAGAGCTTGCGAACGCACATGACGCGAAAGGCGGCCGCGGACTGAGCAATTCCCAATCCCAACGCTCGGGCCTGGTGCACCCTCGCCAGAAAGCTGGGGGGAATGGGAGACCGTACCTGCGATGCGCCTTCGGGGCCGATCGGGAAGCCAAGGTAGGTGGCGGAGAGGGAGACCTGGATCAGGCTGTAGGGAGCGCCGAAGGAGCGGAGAAGGGAGCGGATAGCTGAGGTGTCCAAAGTCCCGCAGGCGACCACATGGCACTTCCGAAAGTTCAGCCGCAAGTTGGCTATCGCCGCCAGCGCCTCCAGGCAGTCTAAGAGCGCTTTCAAAGACGAGGAGACCCGCTCAACTCCAAAGCCGAAGTCGTCTGCATATGCTAGGGTCAGCCCCGGCGAAAAGCCGCGCGACTCCCGAATCCATGCCAATAGAGGGTTCACGGCAAAAACGAAAAAAAAAAAACATGGAGGCGGGACAGCCTTGCTTGACCCCTGAAGCGATACGAATGTGCCCATGTCGACGACCACGAAGGGAGAGGATGGCAGTGTTATTGGAATACACCATCCGAAAGAAGTGGACGAGCGAGGGAGGAATGCCCATGGCCTCAAGCACAAAGAAAAGCCACTCCTGCGCCAGGCTGGGAAACGCCGACGCGAAGTCGGTCAACAGTAGAAGCTGCGTCCGCAGATGCCGTCATGTATCCCTCCACTCCCCATGCCTCTGCCCTCACCACGTTCTCAATCACGTCCCTCCCGCAAACACACTTCTGTTCCTCCCCAATCAAGCTAACAGAGTTCGCAGCAATAGGCATAATGCAGGCGACAGCGAGGATCTTAACGTCCGTGTTGCCCAGGCAGATAGGCCTGGTGGCTGCAGCACATCGGTGAAGCGGGTGGCCTGGGCTGTCCTCCTGTAAGGCACCTTTAGGTAGAAACACGAGCAGGCTGCAAAGCATGTCAGTCGGGAGGGAGGAGATGCGGCCATCGAAGAGGGCGAGGTAGCACGAGCATAATATACGAGCAGCGCACGGCTGCTTCCACGCCGCATATGGCAGCCCATCAGGACCAGGCGTGCTGTGGGCTCGGGTCCGAATCATCTCGAACCACGACGCATATGGTAAGCACCAGTCGACCGACAGCGGAGCCTGGACCGTGCGAATGGGAGCGGCGATCGAATTCCACTGGGAGCGATCGACAGTGGGGGCGGCAAACTGGTGCTCCCAGAAGGCCCCGAGAGCAACCGCGGCTTCCGAGTCCGACGAGGTGTGAAACCCGCCCACAGAGATGATGTTCCCCAAAGACGGTCCGTTTCCGAAATTTCTGCCAGAGAAGCCGTCGCCGTCGCAACCGAGCCATCGCCGACCTTTTCGCCGCCGCATCCGTCGAGCTCCTCCTAATATCGCCTTCCTCCTCCTCTAAGATTCGCCTGTAGATGCAGGAAATATGCTGAGAAAGTCCTTCGAAGTGGATGCAGCGATCGCGCTCGTCGAAGTGTGGTCGAAGCCGAGGATAACATTCGGGAGCGAGACGAGTCCCCTCCTGATCGCCACGCATCACGGCACGCATCGCAGAGAGAGCCCAGTTGTGCTTCTCCTGTCTCGCGCGGGCAACACGACGACGCAGAGCATGTCGGGCCGCGCGTCCCGCTTCAAACATCATCGACTTGGCAGCCTCCAAACGGGTCCACTCGCCCCAGGCGGAGGGGATGATAGCGATCACCTCCTCAAGGGCCTGTTCGAACTCATGAGTCTCGGCAAGCCAGGCAGGTATGCAGGGGCTCCTGGGGTCGGGGGAGTACCTAGAGATGGTAGAACGAACGGGCAGGTGGTCGCTGCTCATCTCGGCCTTCAGCTTCCCAACGACAGAGGTGGAGATAGTGAGGTCACGGATCAGGGCAGCAGGCATGGAGGTGTAGATCCGATCTAATCTCGAGGTCGAGGCGACGGCGGAACCCTTCTTCCCTCTGCGGGCGTCAGCGGGCTGAAATAGTTCAGTGAAGTGAGGAAGAAGACGGCGAAAGTACCGCGAGCGCCCCGTGTCGCCGGCAGAGAGACCACTCCCATCCCCACTGAGCCTTCCCTCCTCCTCCAAGACAAAATTCCAGTCACCCATGAGCAGGATGCGAGCGCCTACGGTAGCGCCCCCCCCTTGGTGCGACAGAGCGTCGCGCTGCAGCACGGAGAGCACCCCAGCGAAGAGGGGGAAAGCATCAGAAGTATTCGGGAGATGCAGATTGTACACAATCAAACCCCCTATAATCCCCGATCAACGTCGATTTGATCATCCTCCCTCGGATCAAAGTAGTGTGAGAAATGAAAAGGAAAAGTAGAACGAGAGCAGGACTGAGAGCGGTGACAACTCCTCCTTCCCGCGAGGAATCTTCAAAGAAAGAGTATCCGAATCGGAAGCCAGACAGGCTGTGTTCCAACTCAGCGAGATCCCCAATATGTCCATGTGTTTCTTGTACGGTAATAATGTCATTGGCGTTGCAAAGCGATAGATAACGGTGGCAGCGGTCTCGAGCTCGCCAGGAGTTCGACTTCACAGCGGTGAAGAGGGCACCAGTGTTCCAGGCGCAGAGGGAGAGGGGGGAGGGGGGGGAGAAAGAGGGAGGAGGCGGGAGGGGGAGGGGCCTGAGTTGAAAAACGGTCTGCCTCCGTCTTAAAAGGGCCTGCGGAGCGTAACCGCCCCCGCGGCCTCGACGCGCTCAATGCGTTCGGCGATCCCAAACTCAAGGAAGACATTTCGGGCGCATCTAATCTCGATGTGCGATTCTCCTAAAACAATCACTTTGGCCGCCCGCGCGGGCTCGTGAGCGCGCCGAAGGAAGAAAACCGAGCCGCCAAGCCCTGTGCCGCCGACTTCCACGCCCTTCGGCGCAAGGAGGGCAGCGGGAGCGGCGCGGATCCTCCCGAGCGAGAGGAACAGCTGACGGGGGACAGGGCTAAGATCGCGTCGAAGGCGAAGCGAAAGAGGCGGGGCGCCTTCAGCAGGGTCGGGCACACTCCATGTGCCTCCCGCTTTGATGAAATTGCCCAGGAAGGTGCTGGCGCCGAGCGCCGTCTCGAACAGCAGCGCCACCTTCTTCGACAGATCGAAGCCGCGGGCAAGGATCCGCGCCTGCTGCGATTCGGGAGAGAATTGCCGAATACACGCATTGCCTATATCACGAAGGTCTTTGGCGAGGAGAGGCCCAGGAAAGCCTAAGAGAACAAGTTTGCACGTATCCTGCTGCGGCTGGTCAGGGGGGCTCGGCCGCGAGCCACCCCTAGAACTAGAGGCACCAGAAGAGAGTGGGGGAGAGGTCGGCGTCGGAGTGGATGACGACTCACACAGACGAGCCTCGGAGATGCGCTGCCGTTCGGCCAGGTCGGCCAGTTGCCGTTCGATGTCATCGCACTTCTCGTCTAGCGCGGGACAGGTCATGGCAGCATCACCCGTGCTCGCAGCAAGGAGCTCTGTGCGGAGGGCAGCCATCTTCGCGTCCTGTGACGAGATGGCATTCTTCAGCTCGGTGTCGAGCAGCTGGTGCTTGGATTGCACGTCACGGGCGAGGAGCTTCATCTGGTCTGCGAGCTCCCCGCATCGCTTGAAGCTTCCCTGAGCAGCCCCCCGAAGTTCAGCCAGTTCAGTTGCGCTCTGCGACACCGCCTGATTCATGCTGGCGATGCTGTAGGCGATCGAGTCGAACTGGGAGGTGATCCGCGATTGCCCATCGCCGCCGGTGCGACGGGCGTCGGGCGCCCTGCTGGCGCTTCTGCGCGGGGCAGACGAGGGCGAAGAGGACCGCGCAGAGCCACGCCGTTCAGAGCGCCGCTTCCCCATGGCAGCGGACAAAGCGGGGTGAAGAGTACGATGCCAGAAGGAACCAGAGAGCAGGCCTGAAGGTGGGCTGCCGTGCTCAACGGCCCCGAGCGCTGATGAGCCAGGTGGGCTACAGCGCTTGAGCCAAAATGGCTTGAGCCAAAATGGCTTGAGCCAAAATGGCTACGGAAGGGCTTCTGCGACACTTGGAACAAGCTCCAGAAAGGCGACGACTAGCAGGCACGCGGCTGTCAGTGGCTGTAGGTGCGGCGTGGCCGAGGACGCGGCGGCAGACGAGGACGAAGCAGGTCATCTCGGAGGTCTGTGTCCGCTGCCGCACGTCCACGGAGACAGCGCTGCATCGAGTCTGGGGGTGTGAGGGGTGTGCGCAGGTGCATCCAATCTATAAGATGACGGGGCACCTTGTAGCCAAGGCGCGTGTGCAGGGAGAAGCAAAAACATGTTGTTGGACGCGCGGGTTGATACCCGCTAAATGGGTTGCAGTGGATGAGCCGTTGGGCATTCCTGACTGGCAAACCACAGGCTTCAGGTATGGTGCTAATTGTTTTGGCGTCGGCAGCGTTGACCACCCGTTGTTCGGGTTTGGCGATGCAAGCTGCGGCATCGAGACTAGTCATCCAATCTTGAGGCGAGTGGGAGTCGGCCTAGCAGTGCTCACGAACATCGATGCGAGTGACGACGCAGCCTTGGGTCTGTGGGGAGCACTGCCAGGCAGCCGCCAGGTGGTTGCCCGCGGTGAGCTGCAGGCATTGCTTCTGTTCCTGGACGGCAGTGACGGCAGCGCAGTATTCGTGACCGACAACGAGGCGGTGTCGATAGGCTGGCTTTGTTTCAGATACGACAAGCCCGATGGGCCTGACGCTGACCTGTGGTGGCAAATCGGCCGAGTGTTGGCACGGAAACCGACCCTGTCGTGCGCAGTACTGTTTGTTCATTCTCACCAGGATGTGATTGCCGTAGCTGAGCGCACGGCACCAGAGTTTCTGATCAAGGGGAACGCGCTGGCCGACGAGTACGCAGGAGTGGGCGCCCAGCTCGCTAGACTGCCAGAGGCCACGCGTTTCAGGTACCACCAGACAGAGCACACGGCGTACCTCGTGAGGCTGCGGATCTTGCAGAGCCAGATCGAGGTGCTGAAGGCTGAGGAAGTTGAGAGAGCCCAGTCGGGGCTGAGACGTGAGAAAAAAAGCTCCCGTCGCTTGCCCGCCTGCCCCCTCTGTATGTGATATGTTCAACTCTCAGCATTCACTGTGTGCTAATGATCGTCGCAGGTGTAGTAGGTGCAAGGGGTCGACCACTAAGGCTAGACAAACCGCTTGGCTCCAGTCTCAGTGTTTCGACCTGTTGGATGTGAATGGTTCTGCTTTTGAACCCCCCCCTGGGCGGCGGGCGCATATTGGGGGAGGTTTTGCCCACCAGAGCCATCAATTAAGCTATCACGCGGGGCTGGGGGTCTGGTTTTGCACAGCGTGTGGGTATTACGTATCTCAGCAGCTCGTTAACCTAGCGCAATTGTGCTCAGACAGAGTTGAGGGTCATCGGGCTGATTACCTGGATCGTAGCTCGCGTAATATTTGGCCTAGGGTCTACAGCAAAGCTGAGCGTGCCAAGAGATCTAAGTAATTTACCCGTCACCGACCTAGTCGCTAAATCCAGAACTCCAGAACTCCTCCTTCTCTTCCTCCTCCTCCTCCGCCGCCTCCTCCTCCTCCTCCTCCACATCCTCCTCCTCCTGCGCCTCCTTCTCCTCCTCCTCCTCGTCATCCTCCTCTTCCCCCTGCGCCTCCTTCTCCTCCTCCTCCTCCTCGTCATCCTCCTCCTCCCCCTCCTCCTCCTCCTCCTCCTCCTCCTCCTCCTCCGTATCCTCCTCCGTATCCTCCTCTTCCTCCTCGTCCTCCTCCTCCTCCTCCTCCGCCTCCGCCTCCGCATCCGCCTCCGCCCCGCCTCCGCCTGCGCCTCCTTCTCCTCTTCCTCCTCCTCCTCCTCCTCCTCATCATCATCATCAGCATCATCGGCATCATCCGCATCATCATCATGATCATCATCATCAGCATCATCATCATCGTCATCACGACCACCACCATCATCATCATCAGCATCATCATCAGCATCATCAGCAGCAGCAACCTCATCATAATCATCAGTATCAGCATCGACATCAGCATCATCACCACAGTCATCATCATCATCACCATCATCATCATCATCATCATCATCAACATCATCAGCATCATCAACATCATCATGATCATCAGCAGCAGCATCATCATCACCACCATCAACAGCATCATCAACAGCATCATCATCATCATAATCAGCATCATCATCATCACCATCATCAAAATCATCATCAACATCACCATCATCATCATCATCAGCATCATCATCATCAGCATCATCATTGTCATCCGCATCAGCCTCCTCCTCGTCCTCCTCCTCCTTCTCCTCCTCGTCCTCCTCCTCATCCGTTTCCTCCTCCTCCTCCTCCACCTTTCCCTCCCCCCCTCCTCCTCCGCCTCCTCCTCCCCCTCCCCCTCCCCTTCCCCCTCACCCTCCCCCTCCTCCCTCCCTCCCCTCCCCCTCTCCGCCCCGTCCCCCTCCTTCTACAATTACCCAATATGAATACTACTCTCCCTCTTCCCCTGATGACGGTTTGTAGGTTTCCCCCCCCCCACCCCGCGTACTGTATTTTTACACACAGGTTTCCCAGGCATTGTCTTTGCCTGCGTTGTTGTCCAAAATGCTGCTCTCGCTGAGGCGCCGGCTTCATTTTCGGGCCCCGCTCGTTCCGAATCGTGCTCCCGCTGCAACGCTGGCCTCATTTCCGTGCTTCCGCTCGTTCCGAATCGTGCTCCCGCTGCAGCGCTGGCCTCATTTCCGCGCTTCCGCTCGTTTCGACTCGTGCTCCCGCTGCAGCGCTGGCGTCATTTCCCGTGCCATGCCACGGCATGCAATGCAATGCTAGGTTGATACTACGCTTTGCGGTGCTCTTCTACGCCATGCCATGCCGTGCTCTACAATGCATCGCGTACCCTTTCGGGATCATTGCCCTGCTCGACATCCGACTGTGCGAGTAGAGAGGGGATCTACGCCATGGAAAG